GGGGGGGGGGAGAGCAGTGCTTTCTTGACCTCTGGGTTACAGGTATGGGGCACTTCTAGTGGAGATCTGCTTAACTTTTGTTCCCCCAAGCATTCCCATGATTTTGTTGTTGTTCTTACTTTTAAAAAAAAAATCAACTTTAGGTGCCAAGACAGCTCCATGGGGAAAGAATAATGCTTTCAGCAGATGGTGCTGAGACAACTGGATATCTACATGCAAAAGATTGAAATTGGACCCTTACCTCACTCTGTATTCAAAAATTAACTCAAAATGGATCATAGACCTACATATAAGAGCTAAACTATGAAAATCTGAGATTTATGTAAGTGTAAATCTTCATGACCTTGGATAGGCAATGGTTTCTTAGATGTCACAAGCAACAAGCAACCAAAGAAAAAATATATAAATTGTGCTTCATCAAAAATATAAACCTTGTGTGCTTTAAAGGACACTCAAGAAAGTGAAAAGACAACCTACAGAATAGAAGGTAGTTGCAAATTATATATTTGATAAGGATTAAGTATCCAAAATACATAAATAACAGTGGAAAGATAACCCAGTTAAGAAATGGGTAAAGCACCCAAATAGCCATTTCTCCAAAGAAGATATAAATGCCAGTAAGCACGTGAAAAGATGCTCAACATTAGGGAAATCCAAATGCAAACCATAATGAGATGCCACTTCACACCCCCTAGGATGGCTAGAATGGAAAAGATAAGTTGGTAAGGATGCAGGAAAATTGGAAGCTTCATATATTACTAGTGGGGATTTGAAATGGTTCAGCTGCTGTGAAAAACCTTTTGCAGTTCCTCAAAAAGTTAAACATAGTTACCATATGACCCAGCAATTTCACTCCTAGTGTATACCCAACACTCTGAAAATATCCATATAAAAGCTTGTACATGAAAACTTATAACAGCTAAAAAGTGAAGTGTATTCTTTTGTGAAGTCTGTTCAAATTTTTTGCACATTTTTATTGTATGGGCTCTTATTACTGAGTTGTAAAGTCCTGTGTCAGATTATATGTATTATGTTATTTTACTTCTGAAGTTTGTGTTTTGCTTTTGTAATGTCTTTTAAAAAGCAAAAATTTTTATTTTGAGAAATCAGTTATCACTTTTTCTTTTAAAAATGGTTGCTGCTTTTTTCTGAGTTTAAGGATTCCTTGACTACCTCTAAGATGAAGATTTTCCTTCTGTTTCCTTCTAGAAGTTTTATAGTCTTACCTCTTATTAAGGACTATGATTCATTTCAAGTTATATTTGTGTGTGGTATGAAATAAGAGTTTAGGTTCATTTTTTTTCCACATGAATATTCACTTCCATCACTGTTTATTGTTAAGACTATCCTTTCCCCTTTCAAGCAATATTCATCCAATATATATATTTTTTTAATTTACTATGAAAGAGTTCAAATATTGGCAACAACAGCCATCTGGCACTTTCTAAATTCTGTTTCATGGATGTATAAGATGAAGGCTGGGAAAGATATCAGTAAACTTTATGCTTTCTCTTTGCTAATAGGAAAAGCAAAATACAGTACAACATAGGAAAGACACTGTTATAAGAATTGCATAGCAACCAGAGAGAGGAGAGGCTCCTGACCTCCACGGCCAGCATTATATAGGCAATGATGAGCTGGGTGTGGGCCCAGGTGAGAGTTCTATAGAGTAGCCGCAGCAGCCAGGATCTGATAAACAATTTGGCAAAGGTGTGAATAAGGTAGTCAGCTTCCACCATCACAGCCCAGCAAAGGAAACCAAATACCTGTCCTGGGTGGAGTCCATGCCACCAGGCGGAGAAGGCAAATGTCTGCAACAATGGCCAGGTCCTGCCTTGTTGGAATATGAGGCGCCTGAGCCACTGAGCTGTGCTTTGGTTCCACTTTCTCGTGAACACAGATATCCTGTGGGTTGTTTCCAGTGTCCAAATGTCCCCATCAGGGATGTATCCCTCCTGGCCAGGGCTCTCACCGAACTCAGATCCAAAGCCTGCTGCATAGAGGAGGGAGTCATCCAGGAGCCAGTGGGAGTAGTAGGTGAGTTTGAAGAGCCCAGCTGTGGACCACATGACATAGATGCACTGGAGCTGACAGCAGTCGGCCAGTCCCGCTCCTCCATTCACCAACCCCCTCATGACCACTGTTAGGCACTCCAGTCCCAGAATCTGCAGACCCCTCCAAGTTAGAGCCCAGAAAGAGTGCCTGGGACACACAGAGCTGGACCCTTGAACACGAGCCTGAAATCTCTGGAAAGAACACAGAGGGCCTCCTAGGAGAGCAGGAAAAAACAGCAAGTAGCTGAAATAGGGCAGCGCCTTACACAGATGCTCAGACAAAGAGCTCCTGCTCCTGATGCCTTCTGATGCTGCTTCCACTTTCCCATCACAAATGTCCAGAGAGAGGGATGTGACCCTCTGGGTCAAGAGCATGAGGGAAGAAAGAGTGATGCAGAACCTGAAAGATATTTTTTTTAATTTAAAAAACATTTCATATTTATTTTATCCCATCGCAGTCCCTCATACATGACCCCACGGCAAATGGGGGGGGGGGGT